AAAAGAAACATAGGTCCCATGGTTTCCCTTATTTGCAATCACTGGTACATGTGTAGGACAAGCAGAAAAGGTCAAAAGCTATGTACATATGACCATATAAGACAATGTTAAGTGACATGAACCCCAAGATAGGGACACAAATATCTTTTTTCTTTCTTGCTTTTGTTTCTAACGTATTTATAATGTACCATGTGATTTTTTTGTTGCTTTGTATGTTCCTCCCCCACAGTATAACCCCTATTTTCACTGTATTTGATGTCGGTGCCCTGTAGCTTGTATATACACTTCTCTAATTCAGGGAGGTGAAGGGAAAAAACAAAATGTTTAAATAAGGATACAGGTTGACCCATTGTAACAATGAGATGTACAAAACACTATGTTGAAAATGAACTTTACAACATTGAGGGAGTGGCTGGGAGGGAGTAGTTGTGGAGGTGGGACAGAAGGGATGATAGGGGGAAAACAAAGGAGGAAGCAATAATGCTCAATAGGAAATGTACTCATTACCTTGCTCATGTAATTGTAACCCCTCTGTACAACATTTTTACAATAAAAAACGTACAAAAAAACAGGTTCTGCCTGGGATGTGGGCAGCAGTGGGATGGGGGAGGACAAACAAAGATGTTAGAGGAGGGTGATTATGATCTGAATACTTTATGTACATGTGTGAAAACGGAAGTGAAACCTGGTGAGATTGGTTTGGGTAGAGGGGAGGGGAGGAGGGTTGTGGGAGAGTGACAGGGTGATCCTGAACAAGGCATATTGTCTGCAGTTATGGATATGTCACAATGAGCAATGAATGTTCTGTGTATGGTGGTGGTATGTGGGTGGTGAGTGGATGTAAGGTATGTGTGGTGGTATTATCCCTCCATGAAACAGCACATCAAGTAATTGCCCCAGGACACCTGCCTCATAGTACTGTTTGTTGCCTCCAAGCTGGTGATGTAAGCCACTAAAGGTACTCAGGAAGACCCAGGATATTTTGTGGGAGAGAGGAGGGGTGAAGATCAGGGGAAGAAGGACAGACAGAGGGGAAAGGGGAACAAATATAGTCATAATATTCAGCCATGTAACTTGAGGGTATGGATGGGGTTAGGACAGATGGGGAGAATGATGGAAGGGATGACATTGATCAAGATGCATTGTACTAAAAAAATTGACATGGTGAAATAAAACCTCTTTGTACACTACTTAAAGATAATAAAAGATCTTAAAAAGAAGCCTCTTTAAAACTTTTATAAATAATTAAAATTACCATCCATTTCTTATTTAAGTGCCTTGAAGTCAAAGGTGGGTCTGTGTGAAAATTCATTTTTAAAAATTTGTTGGGACCTGCATTACAGTCTTACATATGGTCAGTTCTTGTGGTAAATATTGCTTGTGTGTTGAGATTGTAGGCATGATTCTCATTTATATAATGAGGACAATAATAGTCACTTATTCTTGGTGTGTTGACAATTACATGGTTCTACTTAAAATGTTTGGCATCATAGAAAGTTCTCAGTAAGTGGTACTGGTGGGCTGACAGTGTTAGTCATGATGATCATTAATGTTGGCAGCATATGCAACCTTGTATACAAGACATTTGGTTTTTGCTAGACCAGATTCATAATAAACTATTGAAAAAGTGTCATTTTCATGGAGAGGATATATTTTCCTTGGGGATGAAAACTAAGAAGACTTCTGGAAGACTAAGAAAGAGCCTATCAAAGATGCATACCCTCTTACAGATAAAGATCAGAGACAAGGCAAGAAAATATTGGAAATAAAATATTGAGACTTTAGGGACCTATATATATTTTCATAGTGTTTATGTTTCCTATTGCCCTGAAGAGAGTTAGTAAAACTAATGAAGTAAAAGGGGGTTTGTCTAATTTCAGGGGAAGGCAAAGAAAGTAAATAGAATCATTAGTTTTTTTCTCATTCTGTCTGACCTGTGTTCTTTACTAAATCTATATTTTCAGATTATGTCTTTTCCTGCAGTCTTGCTGTGTTTCCAATGATTTCTGGTGCCATTACTGTTATCTTTTTGTGAAACATATACATAACATTGTTAACAAAACTTCCTTCCAGTTTCAAATCTGTTTCTTCTCTATTGTCTCCTGAGCTATAAGGACTGTTACTGTCTAGTCAGATCTGGAGCCCTAAAAATGGGAGCTGGGCTGGGTGCTAGTGGCTCACACCTGTGAACCTTGCTACTCAAGAAGCAGAGGTCTGGGGATCATGGTTCAAAGCCATCCTGGGCAGGAAAGTCTGTAAGACTCTTACCTCCAATTAACCACCGACAAAGCCAGAATTATTGCTGTTGCTCAAGTGGTAAAGCGCTATCCTTGAGCAAACTGGAACTCAGTGACAGGGCCTAAGCTCAGAATTTAAGCCCCAGTATTGAAAGAAAGGAAGAAAGAAAGAAAGAAAGAAAGGAAGGAAGAAAGGAAGGAAGGAAGAAAGAAAGAGAGAGAGAAAGAAAGAAAAAGAAAAAAAAGAAAAGAAAAATGTGGGGTGGGTGTCTTTGCCTTCATCTTCTTTATTCTCTCCCCTCAGTTCCTCCATTCTGTCAGTTCTCTTCAAACCTGTCCTTCTTTCTTCTTGTTTCCTAACACAGACCATTATCATTTGAGGTGGTTCTATATTTGCACTCCAACATTAGATTGGTCCTTTACACACATTATTTAATTTTCTTAAGTTTCTTGTGAAGAAAGTCATTTTACATATGAGAAACACTAGGTTAACAGAAATAAAACAACTTGTCCAATTGGTTAGATGCACAGTTAATAAACTTAACCTGTCTTTTTGCCTGAACATTGCAATAATTTCCTACTTCTCTTAATTTTTTTCTTTTTTTCAAATTTAAAGGGGTAATATATAAAAAGAAATCAGAATTATATAAACTGAGAAATGATTTGTATGCACAAATATATTTAGACAAATACTTTAGGAAATAAATCATTCTGTACTGTAGTACAAGTACTTTTTGTGACTCATGTGTGTTTTCATGTCAGTATGTACATATAATGTTTTAAATGTCTCCATTCTATTTCATTATGTACTGTATTATTTTGCATACTAATTCTTTTTGTTCCCTGGCTTGGTGTAGTGACTCATATTGGTCATCCCAGCTATTTGGAAGGCAGAAATAAGAGGATTGTTTGAGGCCAGCCTGGACAAAAAAGTTAGTGAGACATAGCCATAGGCAAAAAGCATTAGCCCCTATCTGAAGAAAAATGAAAGCAAAAAGTATTGGTGGCATGGCCTAAGTGGTAGAGAACTTGCTTAAAAAGTAAAAAGCCCCTTGGGCTGGGAAGGTGGCTCAGTGGTAGAGTACTTGCCTTGCATGCATGAGGCCCTGGGTTTGACAACTAAGTACCACATGAGCAAAAAGAAAAAAGCCAGAAGTGGCGCTGTGGCTCAAGTGGTAGAGCGCTAGCCTTGAGCTGAAGAGCTGAGGGACAGCACCCAGGCCCAGAGTTCAGGTCCCACGACTGGACCCCCCCCCCGCAAAGAAAAAGTAAAAAGCCCTATTCGAAAAAGATCAATTTTGTTCTTATAAATAATATTGCAGTAACATTCTTGAAATATACACCTTTGCATGTACTTTTTTGGTGTCAGTCCTGGGGCTTGAACTCAGGGCCTGGGCTCTTCCCTGAGCTTCTTTTGCTCAAGGCTAGTAGTGCTCTACCACTTGAGCCATAGTGCCACTTCCAGCTTTTTCTGAGTAGTTTAATAGAGATGAGTCTCATGGACTTTCCTGCCCAGGCTGGCTTCCAACTGAAATTATCACATCTCAGCCTCATTAGTATCTAGGATTACAGGCATGAGCCACTAGCAGCCAACTGCCTGTACATTTTAATACATTTTTTATTAGACAGAGCCTTAGAAGTAGTGGAGTACACTTATTTTAGAATACAATATACACTTTCAAATTCCCCTCCTATTTTTCTTTACACCAATCCTTCAGGTTTATAGAGTTATCTTTACAGAATGAATTTGATTATATAATTTTCCAACATTAAAAAGTGTTCGATGTATCCCTACTGTGTATGCAACCAAAACTTTCTATTTTCAAGAGTATTTAAGTTTTGTACTTGGCCCCAACTTATTTTTCATGCTAGTTTCCCTTACCAACAAACAAAATCCACGTCTTCTGTAAAATCCTCCATGTATACAGCTCTACCTTTCTCTATGTGAGATAGACGTAGTTTTCCTTCTCAAGCTTTCTATGGTTTTTCATTTACAATCCCTCTGGTGGCACTTGGTACAATTCCATGTTTATGTGTGTCTGTCTCTGGTGATGGTCTGCGATTTTCTTAAGTGCAGCACTTGATCCCAATATTTGTTCAATACTTGATAGTGGTGCTCAATAAATGCTGATGAAATCAGGACAGCTATTCCTGAGGTGTAGCACTGGTTCAACAAGATCTTTGGGAGATACAGTAGTTGCTGGAAGTTTTTGAAACATAGTAGAAAGCTGACTGAATGCCAGGAACGTGGGTGCTGGTCAGGAATGGAGAAATGAGCCCAAACTGGCAGTTCTTATTTGCTTTTCCCTTCTACTGCAGACACCAACTGCCTGATTATTTGGGTTAATAGAACTGGGACTTGAGAACATTTAAAGTAATAAAAGTTGGATGATTGAGAACCTATGTGGTAGCGGGGGAATTTGACTCAGTTCTTCTATGTGCTTTCCAGACTAAAATGCTTATCCTGAGCAACTCAACCCCACTTCCTGGAGTCATAAATAATTTCTTGAAAAATCAAAAGCCTCTTCATTTTCAGGATACAATTCAGCTGGTAGCAGGAATGGTAAATTGGTAGATTCTTCTGTTTGGTTTCTCTATCCTGAATCAAGGGAAACAGTAAAAGTAGGCTCATAGCCTTGTAGGATTATGAGCCTATTCTGGAGTAAATCATCTGTGTGAAATTCTTTATTCTGTCATTTCAGGCAACTTGTAGCTGTCCTTTTCTGTGACTTTGAAGAAGAATAGAAAAAAAGTAGAAGACATCATGTCAGAGATATTAGACCTCTCTTTTCTGTCTGAGGTGGAAAGGGATTTGATTCTCAACGTCCTGCAGCGAGATGAGGAGCTCAGGAAAGCAGATGAGAAAAGGATTAGGTAAGAGTCCCGGAAAAATTAGGTGGCCCCCAGCCTTTGACCTTAAGGCCTTGCTTTATGCCTGTCTTCTGACTTCCAGAAGCACTTGTATATATGGTATTTACTACTCCTCATTGATAATTTGGGCTTTGAGTTTGTTGCTTTCACAGAACCAGATAGTCTTCCTATCTTTGCTTCTCAATGCTTCCCCATCCAACCTGTGCAGATCCTGAATCTACTTGTGCTCTCTATTGGTCTTGGCAGGCGACTGAAGAATGAACTACTGGAGATAAAAAGGAAAGGGGCCAAGAGAGGCAGTCAACACTACAGTGATCGGACCTGTGCCCGGTGCCAGGAGGGCTTGGGCCGTTTGACTCCCAAGAGCAACACTTGCTGGGGTTGTAATCACCTGGTATGTCGGGAGTGCCGCATCCAGGAAAGCAATGGTTCCTGGAGGTGTAAGGTGTGCTCCAAGGAAATGTGAGTGTCATCTGTGGCTTACTAGAAAGATGAGATGAAGCCTGAGTACATTTCCTCAGTTTGTTTTGGTAGTTTTCCTTGAATGACAAGAGCCAAGTTTAATCTTTCTGTTATGATCTTTTATTTATTCCCAGAGAGCTGAAGAAAGCAACTGGAGACTGGTTTTATGATCAGAAGGTGAATCGTTTTGCTTACCACACAGGCAGTGAGATAATCAGGATGTCCCTGCGCCGCAAGCCGGCAGGTACTGGGCCTGTTCTGTGTGGAAGGGGTTCCTTGTGGGGCTTTACCTTAGTGATAGGCCCACCCATGGGGAATCCCAGTGTATTGTGACTGCTGGAATCTTAACTTCATCCACTCAGGAAGTTTGGGGGAATCAAAAAGATTATTTCTTTTCTTTCTGCAAATGTGGTAGGTTTGGGAGAGCGATGGTGTAAGAGCTGCTTTCCCTTTCCTGCCATGTTTTTGTTTGTCTTGAAGTGAGTAAAAGAGAGACAGTGGGACAGTCGCTCCTTCATCAGACCCAGATGGGAGATGTTTGGCCAGGAAGAAAGATCATTCAGGAGCAACAGAAGGAGCCCAGGTGAGAACCAAGTAGTCATTTTAAACATCTCTACATCTTTTTAATTGTCTTATGATTTTTTACCTTATTTTTTGTTGGTCATGAGGCTTGAACTCAGGGACTTGGCACTGCCCCTGAGCCTCTTATGCTCAAAGCTAACACTCTATCACTTTGAGCCACAGCTCTACTTCTGGTTTGGAGATAAGTCTCATGAAGACGTCTCTGCCCCAGCTGGCTTCAAATTGTGATCCTCAGATCTCAGCCTCCTGAGTAGGTAGGATTACAGGCATGAGCCACCAGCACCTGAAAATTTTTTACCTGTGCTTTAAAAAATAACAGATGTTCTTTGCAGGAAAATTTAGAAAGTAGAGGAAACAATAAAGAAGGAATGAATAAATCAATCCCAATTCTACCACCCACCTGTTTGTCAGCATTTTGGTGCACTTTGTTCTTCTTAAGAACAATTGGAAAACAAATAAAAGCACATACAGATTAGGAAAAAATAACCAATATGGGAAACCAGAAAGCAGCATATCATCCAAATCTCTACTCTTGCAGTTTTCATATTAGAGGAGAATCATTTCAGATATATACTGTATGTATAAGGGTGACTAGATAGGAAGACTAAAGAGAACTTTCCAATATTGGACTATAACATAATTTAAAATTTCTGTTTAATAAAGCTAACAGAATAAAACATTAAGTGAAACACTAAAATAGATGGGAAGAATTACTAATCTTCAGAGAAATGCCTATTGTAAAGGATTTTAGTCATCACCATCCCTCTAAACTTAAGAAAATTATTATCAAAATCACTGAGCAGTTAGTCACTTTTTAAGTATTTATGTAACAGCATTATTGAAATATAATTCAAATACCATACAATTCATTCACATGAAAAAAAACAAAAAATTCATTCACATGATATGCAGTATCTGCATACAGCTGTATGACCATCAACTCAGTTGATAGTTATCTTTATCATCTTAAAAAGAAAACCTGTACCCTTTAGTTATGTCCTCCCCATCACCCTCTCTATCCTTCATCCCTAAGCAATTGCTGATCTACTTAACCAACTCTTATTTGCCTATCCTGGATATTTCATATAAATAGAATCATACAATATGTGATCCTATGTAGCTGAATATTTTGTTAGACAAAGTGCTTTTTAAAAAACGTTAATCCATATTCTAGCATAACCAAAAATCATTTTTATTCTTTAAATAATTATTGGGGCTGGAAGGTGGCTCAGTGGTAGAGTGCTTGCCTTTCATGCATGAGGCCCTGGGTTCGATTCCTCAGCACCACATAAGCAGAAAAAAAGCTGTGGCTCAAGTGCTAGAGTGCTAGCCTTGAGCTGAAGAGCTGAGGAAAAGTGCCCAGGCCCAGAGCTCAGGCCCCACAACTGACAAAAAAAATATTATTATCATCAAGGTGATGTACAGAAGGGTTACAGTTATGTAAGTCGGGTAAAAAGTACATTTCTTGCCGGGCGCTGGTGGCTCACACCTGTAATCCTAGCTACTCAGGAGACTGAGATCTGAGGATAATGTTTCAAAGCCAGCCGGGGCAGGAAAGTCTGTGAGAGTCTTATCTCCAATAAACCACTAGAAAACCGGAAGTGGCACTGTGGCTCAAGTGGTAAACCACTAGCCTAGAGCTGAAGAGTGCAGGGACAGCGCCCAAGCCCAGAGTTCAGAAGAGTGCATTTCTTTTTGTTTCACAATGTCACTCCTTCCCTCTCTTTTTATTCTTAAATAACATTCTATTATATTCATGTGAAATATTTTGTTCATTCATCTATTTATGAACATTTAGATTATTTCCACAATTTTGCTACTAAGAGTAATGCTAATATGTGCATTTGTTATGAGTTTTACGTGGCTATATATATATATATATATATATATATATATATATATAAATTTCTCTTAGGTGGGTACCATAGATTAGTTACTGGTTCCTTTTTTTTTTTTTGTTAGTCATGTGGCTTGAACTCTGGCCCTGGGTGCTGTCCCTCAGCTTTTCAGCTTAAGGCGAGTGCTCTACCACTTGAACCACAGCTGCACTTCCAGTTTTCTGCTGGTTAATTGGAGATAAGAGTCTCACGGACTTTCCTGCCCAGGCTCCTCAGCCTCCTCAGTAGCTAGGATTACAGGCTTGAACCACCTGCACCTGGATACTGGTTACTTTTGATATGAAATGTTATCAGTAGACTCTGCTATGAAATTGGAGGGGAAATTAGCTTTCTTTTCCCTTTCTCTCACATCTTTTCTTTTATTCTCACATTTTTTTACTCAGATTATTTTAATTCATCAGGATTTGTGACATTAACTTTGTGTTATATAACCATAAATCATCAGCTTTCAAAAACTATTTTTAGGGCTGGGAAGGTGGCTCAGTGGTGGAGTGCTTGCTTTGCATGCATGAGGCCCTGGGTTTGATTCCTCAGCACCACATAAGCAGAAAAAGCCAGCAGTCCCTGTTTTCACTGCATTTGACGTCGGTGCCCTGCATCTTGTATATACATTTTTCTAATTTGAGGAGGGGAAGGGAAATAACAAAGTGCTGAAACAAAGATACAGGTTGACCCACTGTAACAATAAAATGTACAAGACACTATGTTGAAAATGAACTTTATAACTTGTGGGCCGAAGGGGATGTTGGGGAGGTGGGGAGGGAAGGGATAGTAGGGGAAAAACAAAGGAGGAGGTAACAATGCTCAAAAGGAAATGTACTCATTACCCTACTCATATAACTGTAACCCCTCTGTAGAGTATCTTTATAATAAAAAAAAATTTAAAGCCGGAAGTGATGCTGTGGTTCAAGTTGTAGAGTGCTAGCCTTGAGCTGAAGAGCTGAGGGACAGTGCGCAGGCCCAGAGTTCAGGCCTCCCAACAGTGGACCAAAAAACACAACAAATATTTTTAGTTTTAGTTTTCTTTTAAAATGGGTTATATGCCTGCAACCATGTTTTGTACCATAGCTTCTCTGTTTTTGAATTATTTACTTTCACTAATTTCCTTTTTAAAAAGATTTTAATTAGTATAAAATATTTGTATGAAAAGGGGTTTCACTGTGATATTTCCATGAATGCATATAGTATATTCTGATCAAACTCACCCTATCACTCTCTAAACCGCTCCTTCTACAGCAATATTAATAGATTTCATTGTTCTATCTTCATATATGCAAATATATGAAAATCCATTTCATTCTCATTTATTCTCTCTTTTTGCCCGCTTCATGCCTGGTGATATCTGCCCTCACAGTAAAACCTATTTTTTTCATTTTCATTTATTTTCAGTCGTTTTATTTTTAACTATGTATTGCTTATACCAAGGACTTTCACTATGGTATTTCAGACATACATGCATTATATTTTAGTCAGAATAATCCTCTCTATTGCTTTCTCTTTTATTATTCCTATACCTCTATTGATTAACAGCTTTTAATTATTAAGATTCCTTATGCCATCTTCACACATAGTTGCATAGTATATCCATATTATTCAACCTCTATCATTCTCTTTCCCACTCTCCTTATTCCCTTAAACAGTCCGTAGTTACATTATGCATGTGTTTGTGTATATATGTATATGTGTAATTGTATTTCCTTTTCTATTCTTTTTTGAAATTTAGTAACTTAACAAGAATATAATTCATTATGTATTCTTTTTCCTTATATGTAGTACAATATTCAGTTTTTCTTCATTGTTGGAAATTTTTTCTGTACCTATCTGTGAACTTTTTATTTTTCATTGTTTACTACGTCAGATATTAATTATTTCATTGCATCTCTTTCTGTTCTTTGCTACTGTATAATGCAAAAGGAAAAGAAACAGCTGAAAACAGTTATTCATGATTTGGCTCAACTTGTTCCTTTATATTAGTTTGTTTTATCAATTTTCTTCCTCCCTCCCTCCCTTCCCTCCCTTCCCTCCCTCCCTCCCTCCCTCTCTTCCTTCCTTCCTTCGTTCCTTTCTCTTTTCTCTTTTTTGTCCTACTGCTATTTTTAATTTAATAATTTGAATAGTTTACCTTGCCTAGATTTTCTTTTTTGTGTGCTTTCAGTCTTTCTTCTCTTATTTTATGGTTTTATCATCTTGTATTTGAGCTCTTGTGTTTTATCCAATCTCTTTTGTCACTAAGTTTTCCTGTAGTGTAAAGCATTCATAAGAAACCTGCTTATTTTTTAGGTTATAGTCTGCTCCAGTCTAGGTACTTTGTCCATCATACAAGTGGTTCCCATTTTTCCCTGCTCCATGGCTAATAATTTGTCTGTCGGACCATTTTATTTCATTTTATTCGTGTTTAATAAGGTAAGCTTGGTTTATGTATTTTGTTCTATATAGTATATGTAAATTTGGGAAAAAAATGTTTCTCCCATACTTAGCTGCACTTCAGTTTGAGGAGTGAATATTGCTTTCTACATAATTAAACATTAGTTAATGACAGAGATATGTTCTGCAAAATACATTGTTAGGTAATTTCATGATAGTGCAAGCAACAGGATGCATATGAACAAAAACCAAAATCACTACATGATGATATATGTAGTCCTTGTCTGACTAAAATATCTTATGTAGCATATGACTATTTCTTTTTCACTATCTATCTATCTATCTATCTATCTATCTATCTATCTATCTATCTATCTATGCCAGTTCTGGGGTATGACCTCAGTGCACAGCTGGCATTCTAGCACTTGAACCATGACTCCAAATGTACAATAGAGCACCATCAATGCTTATTTCAATTTACCTACAACTTAGTACCCATTGATTAGAAAGTTGTATTTGGTCTAGTGCCTACATTTTAGTTGTATTACTTCTGTTTTTGTTTTGTTTGTATTGAGTTGTTTGAGTTCTTTTAATTTTTTTCTGGAAATAAGGTTTTGAACTCAGAGCTGTGTGCTTGCTAGGCAGCCACTCTGCCATTTAAACCACATCCCAGCACTTTTTTTGCTTTAGTTAGTATTCAAAAAGAATCTTGTATGTTTTGCCTGGGACCAACCTCAGGCCATGATCTTCTTGTCTCCCACTTCTGTGCAGTTGGAATTATAGGTGTATATCAGCCATGCTGACCCAAATTTTTTCAGTTTATTCTGGATTCCAACCTTAATAAAACTTACAGTTTGAAAATATTTTCTCTCATTGTATAAATTATATCTTCACTCTGTTAATGATTTCCTTTGCTGTGCAGAAGCTTTTTAGTCTGATACAATCCCATTTGTCTTTTTGCTTTGTTTCTTTTGCTTTTGGGGTGTTATACCTTGTCTCATTTGGTTGTTGCTGATGAATTTTAGAAGTTTATGTATGTGTGTATGTGTGTGTGTGTGTGTGTGTGTGTGTGAGAGAGGGAGAGAGAGAGAAAGAGAGAGAGAGAGAGAGAGAGAGAGAGGGAGGGAGGGAGTTTTTTCTTCTTTCCTTCAACCAAAGAAAATTTTTTATCCCATTTCATATGATTGTTAAATAACAGAATATGTTAGTTGTTGTTGTATATTCCTATAATCCCTGACACTCAAAAGGCCATAAATTTGAGATTATCAGCCTGGCCAACATACTAAGACCCTGTCTAAAAAAACCAAACAATATAGAAATGTATAAATTAAATCCTCTAGATACTTCATTGCCTCTGCCCTATTGTTTTATTGTATTTTGAAGCCAGACTGGGCAGAAAAGCACAACATTCCATCTTTAAAATAAGTACTGCAATTCAAACTCTGGTACTGGCAATAAATAAATAATACATCAGTAATTGTCTGGGGACAGGGATAAAGTGGAAGGGAGGAATTTCAAAGGAATATGAGGAAACTTTTAGGAGTGACAGATATGCTTGTTATGTAAATTTTGGTAATGATTTTGTTAGTGCATACATATGTCAGAACTCATCAACTTTCACCCATAAACATATGCAGCTTATTTATGTCCATTATAATATCTGTTATAAAAATATTATAGAAAATAAGACATCTGGGCTGGGAAGGTTGCTCAGTGGTAGAGTTCTTGCCTTGTATGCATGAGGCCCTGGGTTTGATTCCTCAGCACCACATAAGCAAAAAAGCCAAAGTAACACTGTGGCTCAAGTGGTAGAGCGCTAGACTTGAGCTGAAGAGCTGAGGAATAGTGCCCAGGCCCAGAGTTCAGGCTGACAAAAAATAAATAAAATATATATATATACATATAGATATATATAGATATATATAGAAAGAAAGAAAATAAGACTTCTTCTTCTTCTTCTTCTTCACCTTTTTAACATTTGTATGGTGTTTTGTTGTATGTATGTACTATGATTTTATCCACATAGCCTTGGGTGGGTGAGTCATCTGTTCCAGGTGATGAGGCCCCCTTTTTCCTTTGTGGATAAGGATAAAAATGGCTTTTATTTGCTGAACCTGATTAACACATCTGACATCATTAGTCAGAATGTAATTTCTGAAACCTACTGCTTCTGGCTGTCTGTGACCTCTTGTCTCATTGGACTAAGAAGACTCTTATTTATTCTAAACATTAAGTGATCATAAATGATCTTTTCCATAAAATTATGGAGCTTCAGAGATAATTGGATTCAACCCCATTATTTTTACAGAAAAGAAAGCAGGATAAGTGATTTACCTAAGATCATACAGACAGAGCCCAGGACTCCTATCTTTTCATTTATTTTTTACTGCACAGATGTCAAATAATTGCTTTTTTTGCCTTAGGGTTGTTTGTATCAGCTCTGGATTAGTACATGTTAATCCTTAGGGGGAAACACAAGCAAAAGGCAGTCTTTGTGGGCTACTGTTGAACAAACTCTGTAGAGGAATGATTCTATTGGAGTTCAATTTTTCTTGGGAGCAAAGAGGGGAAAAGAATGATTTTAAAGTTAAGAATAAAATCAAGTCCCTTACTGTGTCTTGTGCTATAAATGTAATGTGTTTCTCAAGGAATGACCACCATTTCACCTCTAGGATTTCAACCCTTTGCTGTTTGTTTTCAGTCTGTAAATTTATTCTTCACTGGCTGTGATATACATTTTGTTCTCTTATTTGTTTCTTTGTTTGATATGTCAGGTACCATTTAAGGCACTGGGATATACTGGTGGGTATGAAAAAATTTCTTGCTATTAGACATTAGATTGGGAGTATGGAACAGAGAAAACGATCACAGAAATAAACAGTATAGCACAATTGACATGTGCAATGGCAAAAATTCAGTAGACTGAAGGGCTGGGAAGTACTGGGAAGGTGTGTACATACACTGTTTTCTTTACAATAGCAAGGGCAAGTCCTAAGAAGAAGGTGACATTTGAGTAAAGACATGAAACCAATGAAGGAGCAACTCCAGAGAGTATTTGGGGAGCATTGTAGGCAGAAACAACAGCAAGGATACAGACCTGACAGTGAATTTGTGGACCTGGGAAGGTTGCTCAGTGGTAGAGTGCCTGCCTTGCACGCATGAGGCCCTGGGTTCAATTCCTCAGCACCACATTAGCAGAAAAAGCTGGAACTGGCACTGTGGCTCAAGTGGTAGAGAACTACCCTTGAGCTGAAGAGCTGAGGGACAGCACCCTGGCCCAAAGTCCAGGCCCTACAACTGACCAAAAAAAAGTGAATTTATGTTTGGCACTTTTGAGTAATATGGAACTGAGTGGGATGACAGGATGATAGGAGGTGAGGTCAGAGATGTAAGACACTGTTGACATTTGAAAGGATTATTTTCTATTCGGAGTGAAAATGATGGCTCAGAATGAGTAACATGATTTTAGTTTTTCTTTTTTTTAAATTGAGGAAAATTTCACATCACATATAAATCATCAATGAACAATTTAAAGTGTTCAATTTTGTGATTGGTAGTTCTTTCAGAATGTTGTGTTGCTATCACCACTCTAATTTCAGAACATTTTCATCACTCAAAAGAGAAATCTTGCCAGGAGCTGGGTGCCAGTGGTTCATGCCTGTAATCTTAGCTACTCAGGAGGCTGAGATCTGAGGATAATGGTTCAAAACCAGCCTGAGCAGGAAAGTCCGGGAGACAATCTCCAGTTAACCACCAGAAAACCAGAAGTGGCACTGTGGCTCAAGTGGTAGCGTGCTCGCCTTGAGCTGAAGAGCTGAGGGACAGCATCCAGGCCCAGAGTTCAAACCCTACGACCTACAGAAAAAGAAAGAACATAGAAGCAAAATGTTGTACTCATTAAACAACCACTCCTTATTTCCTTCAGCCCTTAATATGATATCTATCTCTATGGATTTGCCTATTTATGTATAGTGGAGTCATACAAAATGTGCCCATTCTTTCTGTGAAGAAGACTGAGAATGGATATGAGAGGAGGTGATCAGTAGAATGTGGCATTCTAAGAGATGGTGAATTTACTTGAAGAATTTTTCTCTTTCCTATTTCTCTTACTAATTTTTTGAGACAAGGAGCTGAGGAAAAATGCTTTTCCTTTTTTATGAGACATATTACTTATTTTTGGACATGCCTAAGCCCCACTGAGAGAATTTATTCAGGAATTTAATTACTAAATTTGAGAACCTACTCTTTGCTTGTCTGTCTTTTAGGCAGTGGAAACACAGCAGTGAATAAGAGATGTGGCTACTGACCTCATAAAACTTGTCTAATAGATAAGAAACATTGTTTAAAAGATTGAGTAAAGTAAATGATTTATTTAAAGTCATGAATAATTACCTATGTGATTAGTGCTACCAAGAAATCAGTATACTTTGTGAATATAATTATTAATCTTCTTTGGGATATGGTCAGAGATAGATGTCTAAGGGCTGTGAATGTCTTTTAGTGGTGGAGTGATGATCTAGTAAGTGTGAGAGGTCCTGAGTTCAAACCCCAATATTACCACTATAAAGGGCTGGCTTCAAGAAATAGATGTATCCAGGTGAGGAAAAGTGACCATTGTGAAAAGACCTATTTCATGCTGAGAAAAATAGGAGAATTTGAGGGTATTTAGGAACCCAAAGAGCTTCAGTTTTCTAGAATGTAAGATGTGAAGAGGAGTAGAGGGTGAAAGATGTGACTGAGGAGGTAAGCAGGGGCCAGGTTCTAAGGATTTTCTTGCCATACTAAAGAGATAAAACTCCCAACAAAATTGGGAACCACTGAAGGAACTTGAACAGGTTGCCATTGTGACCGAGTTGGCAAAGGATCCAAGTAGAGGCAAGAGAGCTCACTTCCTCGAAAATGATGGATCTTGGATTTTATTCCAGTGTGCTATTTGAAGTGCCAAAGCTGAGAAGTGGAAAGAGTGCCCTGGAGGCTGAGAGCGAGAGTCTGGATAGCTACACAGCTGACTCAGATAGCACCTCCAGGTGGGATTCCTCCACTTTCCTCATCTCTGCTCAATCTCAGGTCCCAATTTTTTCTTAAGCACCATGATGCAGGTCTCTTATGCCTTGAGTGTTCCTCATATATATCCCCAGGAGACTGAAGTCTTTTCTCTGACCTCACCAGAGTTTCTCAGTAACATAGTAGCATTTGGCTTTGTTAAAGTGTGTTAAAGTGCCCAGACTGTTGCATTCTGGAGGATTTTTCCTTTGTTGCTCTTCCTTAGGAATGGGGGTGTGTTTGTATTAGTGTGAAGTAGCTTGCTTGATCTTTTGAATTCCCTCACCTTAACCCAGATGTGAACTTAACTTCTGGGTTTGGCTATTGTCATGACCTCCAAGCTAGGGATACTCCTTCTTTCCAGAGGTATAAGTCCTAGGTGGAAGATATAGAGGGGAGGATATAACATAACTTTTGAATCTACCTCTAGGAGAGACTCTCTGGATAAATCTGGGCTTTTTCCAGAATGGAAAAAGATGTCTGCCCCCAAATCTCAAGTAGAAAAGGTAAAGTTTTAGTTATTGGTATTTTCCTTCCCTTCTCCTTAACTTCTCTCTCTTCCTTTCCCCTTCCCTTTCCCCCCTACTCTCTTCCTCACTTTCCCCTCCCCTTTCCTCCCCTCCTTTCTTTTCTTTTAATCGCAGTACAAAATTAAATCAGTAATTCAGTTGAGCAATTTTCACTTCAGATTCACTTGGAAGTGTTTTCTAGGGTTTTTGATGAAATGTGAGGGAAAATAGGTTTTAATACTATTTCTAGACATTTACTCTTTCCTTAAAGTTTGTCATAGTTGGATGAAATCTGAGTCTTGTTCTGCTTAATGCTATATTTCCTATTCACTTATTCCACTTAACTTTTTCTATTTTCACACTTTCCTAGGAAATTCAGCCAGGGAGTCAAAATGCAGTATTTGTTGATGAAAGTGAAATGATATTCAAGAAGAACACTAGAAAAATCCTTAGACCCTCAGGTAGCCTGCTTCTTTTCATGGTCTTTTGGGATTGAAATTTCAAGTACCTTTGGTGGGTTTTTGGTATGGATTATAATATAGTGGGTCTCTTTTAACTAAAGCTTTTTGGTTTCCTACTCAGAATATACTAAATCTGTGGTCGATCTTCGCCCTGAAGATATGGGACATGAAAGTAGCTCTTTGGGAGACAGAAGCAGATCTGTTCCAGGCCTCAGTGTGGATATGGTAAGAGCTCTTGTATTTCACTTCATAACGACTCAATTTTGTTAAAATTAAAGTTATGGCTTTAGTACCTGATGTGTTCTTTTTTCTGTACATTTTCTTTTCTTTTGATGCTGGGCTTGGGGCCTGGGGCCTGGGGCTTTAACTCAGGGCCTGGGCACTGTCCCTGAACTTTTATGCTCAAGGCTAGATTTGTACCACCAGCTTTTTGGTGGTTAATTGGAAATAAGAGTCCCATGGACTTTCTTCCCAGGCTGGTTTTGAATCATGATCCTCAGATCTCAGCCTCCTGAACAGCTAGAATTACAGGTGTAAGACACAGGTACCTAGCTTAGAACAAGATATTTTCTATCAACCTAATTGTTTAGGCCAAAGCAATGTGACTCTTGATCCCCCCCAAAATTCTGAAGTAAATATAGTCCCTAGTTTGCTTAAAGGAAAGGACTCTATCTCTTATCTTGACCACATTGTTGGATATATGATTGGCCACTCAAAAAATCACTTATTTTATTTTATTTTATTGTAAAGATACTATACAGAGGGTTACAGTTACACGAGTGAGGTAATGAGTACACTTCCTCTTGAACATTGTTCCCCCCTCCATTGTTTTCCCCCTACCATCCCCTCCCTCCCTCCCTTCCCCGAGGTTCTTTTTTTTTTATTGTGATTAAGTGATTACATAATTTCCAGAATTTTACAGTATTGTGGAATAATGATGCTCATTTAAAGTCACAAGTTCATTCTAACTTTCCTGGAGCAAATTGTCTATCACAGTCTGTAACATATAAAATCACTTATTTTAAATAAAATATAAAGAGATGGCTGGGCTAAGATAGTCAAATGGAAAAGAGTTATTGCTCCAATGAAGAATATTATTTGTCCTTAGGACTGGCACACATGCATACAGACACACAGGCACACAAAGAATAAATATCTAAGAATCGTAAATTGAATGATCAGTGATGAAATGAACACATACCAGAGGAGAAACCCAGAGAGTTAATTTCTGTACCCCTCTTCCAGACAAAGCACAGGATGAGGGTACTCTGGAGAGGAGGAGAGTGTACTATGGAGAGGAAGAGGAGGGATACTGTGGAGAGGAGGAGCTACTATGGAGAGGAGGAAGGGACTAAATCCCAGGCTGGGGTAGGCCACAGCAGAGAAATGGCCAAGGAAACACCCCTTGGTAAGCGGATTCCTGGTCCTGTGTTTGGCTTGGATCATTGCCTTGAGAAGGAGAAGGAGTGACACACAATCTCCTCATTACCAGCTTGAGCCAGGCTGGCCTGTATCTAATGACTGGTAGCTAGGGCCGCAAAGTACAAACCACACAGCCAGGGTGAGGTAGCTTTAGCCTTTCTCTTATTCTTCTCTCAGATAAGCTTTGTCACAGAATTCCAGTACTCTTAAAGCCTCATTTATAACTCTTTAGACAGAATTCCTCCAAAAACGAAAAAATGATCATGGAAGAACATTTGAGAATGTATTAAAAAAAACAAACTGTGTGCCTGTACTGAGACTTGAACTCAGGGCCTTAGGCTCTATTCACTTGAGCCACAGCTCCACTATTGGCTTTTTGCTGGTTAATTGGAGATGAGAGTTTCAAGGACTTTTCTAAGCAAGCTGGCTGAGAACTACCATCCTTCTATCTTAGCCGCTTGTGTAGCTGAGATTACAGGCATGAGCCACACTCCTAACTCATACTAGTTCTTTTAAGTGGATGATATGAACTCATTACCTGCAATCGCTTGGTGGTTTGTCCCAGAGATCTTTCTACAGCTTTGATTACATTCTCCAGTCTCAGGCACTGCTGGCCCTGCAGGTCAATCTCCCCTTGGACTTTGCCAGTCTTTCCTTTAACTTCCTCTTCGTTGACTTGGGTCTTCTGAACTTCCTGTTGTAATTTCTCTGCTTCAAGACCGTTTTCCATTTTCTGGATTTGGGCCACAGAGTCTTTCAGTTGGCTCTTACAGTCCATGATCTTCTGCCTTATTTCTTGAAGCTGATCTTTACAGCTGCTTTTCACTTTCTTGCTCAATCTGCAATTCATTTTCCCAAAACTCTTCCTTCTTGATTTTCACGGCATTCTGTTTGATGTTTTGCTCTAGGCAGATGATCTCTTCTTCCAAGTTTGAGTGATACTTTGGTTCCAAAATCGAATCTCAAGTTCATTTGATTCCAGCTGCTTCTTGATGGACTGAAGTTTCTTGGTCTACAGACAGATCAGTTTCTTTGGCTCCATGGGCAGTTGCTTTGCAACTGTTTAATACCTTTTGTTTAAATTCAGTTTCTTTCCCTTTTCCAATGATGTCCATTAACCATTTGGCCCCTTTGGTGAAAGTCAAAGATTTCCTCTTAGGCTCTCTCCTCTTGATTGCCTTGTCTCCCAGGGGCCTCAGTTTGGCTAAGGGGGGCAAACTCTGCCTGTACAAAGTTCTTTCTGGAATTATGGCCATTCTGTCAGAAGTGGGGCACTCACTGAGTGATACCCTGTTCTTTGCAGAGTGAGCTACACATTGCTCGCATACTGCCCCTATTTATTTAAAGAAATGATTGGGTTTTCATGAGGAGCAAGATATCTTTCAGTATCTCTCCATTTTTCTATGATGGTGTATCTACCAGTTCAACCTAGATGGAGAAAAAGATGACACTGTCAAAATGGGATATGCAGGAACTAAGCCAAGGCAACATATCATTTGGTAATTGTCTGTCTGTCTGCCTATCTATCTATCCATCTATCTATCTATCATCCATCTATCTATTTTATTTCCAAGATTGTGATTGGAACTCAATACCTAATGCTTTGCTCATTGGTTGGCACCCTACCAACACCCTAGCCACTACTCCATCTAATCCCTCTTTTTAATTTTTTTCCTGAGCTAGTAGTAGGACTTGAACTCAAGACTTTGTGCAGTAGCTTGGCCTTTTTCTGCTCAAAACTGGTGCTCTACTCCATGAGCTAAGCCTCCATTTCTAGTTTTTTGCTGGTTAGTTGGAGATAGGGAGTCTCATGGATTTGTCTGCCTAGGCTGGCTTAGAACCTCAACTCCTCAGATCTCAGCCTTCTGAGTGGCGAGGATTTATAGAGGTGAGCCACCAGCACCAGGCAATGATCCTAGTATTACAAAGAAACTTGATCTTGCAACCTAGTAATTATATTGTATATATCATATTATATATGAAGCAATGGACTTCCCTTTCTTTTTTGCTTTCCCCCTGAACCCCAATTTCAAATGCTTCTGAACCAATAGTATTTTCTCACTTGTGATTTCAATAAATGGATATCTATATGTAAGAATATAAATACTAATGTACTAAACTGAAACAGGGGCTGGGAAGGTGGCTCAGTGGTAGAGCACTTGCCTTGCATGCATGAGGCCCTGGGTTCGATTCCTCAGCACCACATAAGCAAAAGGAAAAAAAGCTGGAAGTGGCGCTGTGGATCAAGTGGTAGAGTGCTAGCCTTGAGCTGAAGAGCTGAGGGACAGTGCCCAGACCCAGAGTTCAGGTCCCATGACCGGACCAAAGAAAAAAAAACTGAAACAGGACAGAAAGAATGTTTTTGCTGAAGCATATGGCCATAGTCTTCTTTAAGGAAATGTAAATCTTGGGTACAATGAAAAATCGTGTGTGTGTGTGTGTGTGTGTGTGTGTGTGTGTGTGTGTGTGTGTGTACAGGGGCTTGTACCCAGGGCCAGGGTACTCTCTCTTGGCTTTTACCTTCAAAACAAGGTGCTCTACCACTTAAGCCATGCCTCCACTTCTAGCTTTGTTTTGTTGGTTAACTTGAGATAAGAGTCTCACAGACTTTCTTGCTTAGGCTGGCTTTGAACTGTGAACCACAGATCTTAGCCTCCTGAGTAGCTGGGATTACAGACATGAGAGAGCACCCAGTGAGTATTATGCAGAATCAGAGATTCTGAATCTCTTATGCATTCAACACTAGCATACCCTCATGTTTGGGGGCATATTAAAAATTATGTTGATTATTTGTAAATATTTGTGTTATATAAAATATTTTATAGATGCACAATAAACTTTCCTATAGCCCAAAAAAGAATATTATTTGCTCTTTTGAGATATGAGAAAGATGGCTTCAATAAAGTTGGGAATCCAGAAATGGGAGCACATAGAAAATCAAGTATATGTAATACATTTTTATATGAATACTCAGAGCTGAACAACAATTATGGTGCCCAATAAAGGAGGGGGTGGGGAGCATGCAACCTGTGGTCCATATAAAGCCAGTAAAATCATTTGGTATAGGACAAGACAAACATGTATGCTTCTCATAGGCTTCTCATTGGTTGCCTGTGGTCAAACTGCCTTTGTGATTTTGTATGGCTCATAAACGATGTCATAAATAAAAATGTTCTCTTCCTCAATACAGTAAAGGCTGTATATGACAAACCTACAGCCAGCATTGTACTTAATGGTGAAAAACTAAAACCATTTCCTCTTAACTTAGGAATGAGACAAGGATGTCCACTCTCTCTACTGCTCTTCAATCTAGTATTAGAATGCCTAGCTACAGCAATAAGACAAGATGCAAACATAAAGGGGATCCAAATAGGAAAAGAAGTAAAACTCTCCCTCTTTGTAGATGACATGATCTTGTATTTAAAGAATACCTCAGACTCAATTCCCAACTTACTCAAGCTGATTCAAAACTTTGGCAAAGTAGCAGGGTATAAAATTAACCCTCAAAAATCAATGGCTTTTCTGTATACCAACAATGAGAAAAGTGTGGCTGAAATTAGGAAAGCAAATCCATTTGTAATAACCCCACAAAAAATAAAATACCTAAGAATTAACTTAACCAAAGAAGTGAAGGACCTCTATGATGAAAACTTTAAAAACTTGAAAAAGGAAATCAAAACAGAACTTAGAAAGTGGCAAAACCTCCCATGGTCCTGGATTGGAAGGATCAACATCGTGAAAATGGCAATACTTCCCAAGGCTATCTACAAATTCAATACAATACCTATCAATATTCCAACCTCATTCTTCAAGGAAGTAGAAGAGGCAATTGAAAAATTCATATGGAACAATAAAAGACCCCGAATAGCAAAAACGATCCTCAACAGAAAGAACACTGCTGGAGGAATATCAATACCAAATTTGAAACTCTACTACAAAGCCACAGTAATCAAAACAGCTTGGTACTGGCACAAGAACAGACCTCAGGTCCAATGGAATAGAATTAAAAACCCAGAAATGAACCTACAGACCTATAGCCATCTAATTTTCGATAAGGGAGCTCAAAAAATAGAATAGAAGAAAGACAGCCTCTTCAGTAAATGGTGCTGGCAAAATTGGTTAACTACTTGCAGAAAACTAAAGCTAGATCCTTATCTATCACCCTGCACCAGAATCAACTCCAAATGGATCAAAGACCTCGGAGTCAAAGCAGACACCCTGAAAACATTACAGGATGGAATAGGAGAAACCCTAGGACTCCTTGGAACAGGCCGAAATTTTCTTAATAGAGACCCAGAAACACAACAAATCAAAGAAAGGTTGGGCAAATGGGATTGCATGAAATTGCAGAGCTTCTGCAAGGCAAAGGACATAGCTAGCAAGATCAATAGAAAGCCCACAGATTGGGAGAAGATCTTCACTAGCCTTACAACAGACAAGGATCTCATATCTAAAACATACCTGGAACTCAAAAAATTAAATACCCCCAAAACAAATCTTCAAAGAAACAACTGCCCAATAAATAAGTGGGCGAAAGACTTAAAGAGAAACTTCTCTGAAGAGAAAAGAAGGATGGCCAATAGACACATGAAGAAATGCTCAACCTCCCTAGCCATAAAAGAAATGCAAATCAAAACAACATTGAGATACCACCTCACCCCAGTTAGAATGGCTATAATCAAGAACTCTAATAACAACAGATGCTGGAGGGGATATGGATAGAAGGGAACCTTACTGCATTGTTGGTGGGAGTGTAAACTTGTTCAACCACTTTGGAAAGCAGTATGGAGGTTCCTCAAAAGACTCCACAGAGAGCTTCCCTATGACCCAGCAATCCCACTTTTGGGCATTTACCCAAATGATCACAAACAAGGCCACACTAAAGCTACCAGCACAACTATGTTTATTGCAGCATTACTTACCATAGCTAAGATATGGAACCAACCCAGATGCCCCTCAGTCGATGAATGGATCAAGAAAATGTGGTATATATACACAATGGAATTCTATGCCTCCGTCAGAAAGAATGACATTGCCCCGTTTGTTAGGAAATGGAAAAACTTGGAAAAAATTATATTAAATGAGGTAAGCCAGGCCCAAAGAAACTTAGGTCCCATGGTTTCCCTTATTTGCAATAACTAGTATATGTCTGAGTGAAGCAGAAAAGGTCAGATAAGGTGATGTTAGGGAAATGAACCCTAAGATATGTATTCAAATGTTTTTTCTTTCATGCAGTTGTTTCTAACACATTTATAATATTATTTCTTTGTTGCTTTGTATGTCCCTCCCCCACGGTATAACCCCTGCTTTCACTGTATTTGATGTTGGTATAATTTGTGGAGAGGAAGGGAAAAACAAATCATTTAAATAGGGATACAGGTGGACCCATTGCAACAATGAGATGTACAAGTCGTTATGTGGAAAAACGAACTTTACAACTTTGGTGGGGGGGAGGATTGGGTAGGGGGACGGGGAGGGGGAGGATGGGAAGGGATGGGAAGGGGAAACAAAGGAGGAGGCTACAATGCTTGATAAGAAATGTACTCATTATCTTGCCCATGTAATTGTAACCCCTCTGTACAGTATTTTCACAATAAAAAATGAAATAAAAATGTTCTCCATTTTTGGAAGATATTAGTCTTTCATATTTTATTAACTCTGGATCTTCCTATATTATTATAGGAAGAGGAAGAGGAGGAAGAAGAAGACATTGATCACCTGGTAAAATTGCATCGCCAGAAATTAGCCAGAAGCAGCATGCAAAGTGGCTCCTCCATGGTAAGTTGTGTTAGTTCCGTGCTTGTAAGGCACATTGGACATCAGAAAGGAAAGAAAGGCTGCCTCCCTAGAGCAGACTCTAGACCAGAGGAAATCATTCCAGTCATTGTTTTCAGATAAGGGAGGTGCATTTTTATTCATGCTCTCAATTTAGACCACAGGTGCTTAGTGTACTTCTAGATTACTTCTTGACGATCTCCCTTGGAGATTTGTACATTAGATAATTAGGTCTAGGGACATTTGTCATCATGCCTTTGTTACACACTTCTTTGAAAAAGTTATCCAGATCTTAAAGTGAGTATGATCAGATTTTTGTCATCACAGCACACTCCATAACTCACATTACAGGGAAATGGGGGTCATAAGAAGGGATCTCACTAGGTACACTGATATCCAGATATGATCAAACATCAATAATACCAATCAGTATCATGAAGTTCAAAGGACATTGAAGAATCAGGGCATATGGCTATCACAAGTATAAAGACTGATGTTCAGGGGCAACAGAGTTGAAAATAAGGGTGATTAGCATTTTACATTCACACCCAGAAAAGGAATGGTGAATTCACTGTCAGAGAGGAAGGTGGCTTTTCACTTCTAGTGGTATTCTCTCCCACCCTCCTGCCCTTATTGTAGCTGATCTCTTTTCTCTACACATCTTGATAAACATTAGGCAGATACTTAAGGCATCATGTTTTAATTAATAGCTGTTTCTCATCCCTGTTTCATCATATACAACACCGCAAGTGGATCTAACTGTACCTTATTCTACTCTTTGTATGCCTTCTGGGAAAATGAACAATAATATGTGTAAAAGGAAGGGAAAAGCTAAGTTAAGAGCCTAGGTGAGCTGTGAGTTGATTTATTAACCTAAACAACTGTTAATGTGCTGCAAGCTCTGTCTCATCTTCTCAGTAAAGGACTTTTGGAAGTATTGGCTGCTTGCAAGAGTTTCTGAAAATTTTTCTCAGTAACCCTGGTTTTGTCACAACAGAAGAGGTAAGCAGTGTGGATGATGGGATGGGCCTTCCTCAGACATTTGTGGGTGTCTTATCTTCAGAGTACCATTGGCAGCATGCTGAGCATCTATAGTGAAGCTGGTGATTTTGGGAATATCTCTGTGACAGGCAAGATTGCCTTTTCCCTGAAGTTTGAACAGCCAACACAAACTCTGGTTATTCATGTGAAGGAGTGTCACCAGCTAGCTTATGCTGATGAAGCTAAGAAACGTTCTAACCCGTGAGTGTTTCTGGGAACTGACTGATGCTCTTAAGATAAAACAGGAGACCTGGGTATCTGTCTGGGTACCCTGAAAGCAAGCTTATCATTTCCTGGGGTACAGGGATGTGTGATGTGAAAAAGAGCCTAGGATTGGGAAAAAGAAAGAATAGTATATTCAACAAGACTCACTATGACATTGTATTTCATAAGTACATATTTATATTCTGAGCAGGAAAGTGAAGAAGTAGCTTCAGAAAGGACAAAATTTTGCTGTGTTCTTGTTGCAATCTAGGTATGTGAAGATGTATCTTCACCCTGACAAGTCCCGACAAGGTAAAAGAAAAACCAGCATCAAACGGGATACTATCAATCCACTATATGATGAGATCTTTAGGGTAAGTGTCTTGTGCTCTAAGCTGTGGGTATGCTTCTGTAGCATGGCTGGTTAATATGGGTTTCATTGAGCCATGTCTGAGTGTAAGGATTCTCTCTGGGAATCTGTTCATATCCTGACCTCCTCCCAGAGGACAGAATAAGGTAATTTGGCTTCCTTGGACTATTGTGGAATTGGAGAATCGCAAAGCCACAAATATTTTTCTTAAATCGTTTGGGATAAAGAGTCTTTTTGACAATTATCCATGGACATTCCATTGGCTTTTCACCCTCTCAAGGAAAATTAATCAGTTTTCCGGGTTTGGACTGTGGTAGTTCCTAGTGAAATGGGGTAAGTGAGCTGAAGCTTTGAGTGAGGAAACTCAAAGAAATTAGAAACTAAACAAATTTGATGTCCAGTGGTATGGGCTTTGTGTATATGTTTCGGAAGAATCTTTTTGGAAGAATTACTCCAAAATGATCCTTGTGGATATCTCCTTTCCCTTCACAGTATGAGGTCCCAGAATCTCTCCTGGCCCAGAGGACCTTACAGTTTTCAGTTTGGCATCATGGTCGTTTTGGCAGAAACACTTTCCTTGGTGAGGCAGAGGTCCAGATGGATTCCTGGAAGCTTGAAAAGAAACTGGATCATTGCCTCCCTTTACATGGAAAGGTATTCTGCTTTAACAGCCTCTTTCACAGCTTGGATCAGTGTAGAATTATCTGGTCTGAATAGCAGCTTTGAATGTAGTCTTAGGTAGAGTTCTAGCTCACCCTGCTGGCATTTCTGAGCTTAACAGCAACTTCAGAGGCTTTTCTATGTCAAGTGTGCATAAATTCCTTTGGTGTAAGCTGTGCAAAGTATGAAATCATGATTTTGTTTCAAAAACTCTGTCATACATGTGTCAAGCTTTGCATCCTAATCTTCCACAGTCTGGGAATATCCTAATCAGTATCCTACTTCTGGCTACAGAAGTAGGAAGCAAAGCAATTCCCAGAGCTCCAGTGGCTATATTCTTCTTACTCAGGCCAAGGAAATTTTTACTTTGGAGATGGTACCTCAAGTGATGGTATAGCAATGTGGCCTAATCATGGCTGGAATCTGATTGTAAACCTGGATTTCAATCTTGGTTGTATAACTTGCCAACTAGATGAGTCACCTGACTTATAATGTAGGGAATCAGAGCCTAATGCATGCTAGACAAGTTCTCTACTACTGAACCATACCCCTGCCCCTACTTTTGATCCTATAACTGTCAGAGAAATTCCTAATGGTAGAGTTGTAGAGTCAAGGGAAATGTATAGCTAATAATTTTAGTTGTTGCCTTCTAAATGTGCAAGAACATTGAATTTGTCCTTTTCAATACTAATAAATTCACAAGACAATATGTTGGAAATGATCTGTACAATTTGGGGGGGAATAGGAGGAGGGAAAGTGGGAGAAAAATGAGGGAAGGGATAACAAATTTGATGAGAAATGTACTTATTTATAAAACTATAACCACCTCTGTATATCACCTTGCAAACATGGTGTTAGAAACTTATTTGTTTTATACTCATGACCATTATCATTATTATTGTTACTATTATCATTTTAGGTGTAAGTACTTGGCATGAAAGCCATTCATTCAGTGTTTTACAGTTCATATAATTACATTAAAATGTAACTGCAAACCATTATGAATTACTGCCAGTAAAATATCTTAAATAGTTCATAAGGACTACATTAAAACAGAGATATTTGTTCTTTACAAATACTTTGAGCCAGGATGAAAATATGCTACTGAAATGACCATGCAAGTTTCCAGCCTCCAGTTTTTTAAGAGTGCACTACAGTTGACAATCTAGAGCTTAATAAATTTTGAAGCTATTTTACAAATAATAAAAAATCATTTCCATATTATTAATATCTATTTCATACAGCTCATGCTGTGAGAGACATAGTATAAGGACCATACAAAGAGAGCCAAGAGGGAAGCAATTCTCCCCAGAAGCCAAAGATGATGCCGTTTTCTGCCTATCCTCAACATTCATTAATTTACACTTATATTCATTCAGTAAATATTTGTAGAGTACCCACTCTGTACCAGGCACTTTACTAAGTGGTGAATGTACAGGGTGAATAAAATAGGCTTGGGATGGGAACCAGTGGCTCACTCCTATAATCCTAGCTACTCAGGAGGCTTAGCTCTGAGGATTAAGATTCGAAGCCAGCCAGCCAGCCGGGGCAGGAAAGTCTGTGAGACTCTTATCTCCAATTAACCAGAAAAAAAGCCTCAAGTGGAGCTTTGGTTTGAGTGGTAGATTGCTACACTTGAACACTAAAGCTCAAGGACAGAGCCCAGTCCCAGAGTTCAAGCCCTAGGACTGGAAAAAAAGGGGGACTTTCATTCCTGTTGTCCTGGAACTAAGATCTTAGTGGTAGAGACATATACCAATTAAAAGTAATATAGAGTTGGGTGCTGGTGGCTCACACCTGTAATCCTAGCTACTCAGGAGGCTGAGATCTGAGGATCATGGCTCAAAGCCAGCCCAGGCAGGAAAATCTGCGAGACTCTTGTCTCTAATTAACCACCTGAAAACTGGAAGTGGCACTGTGGCTCAAGTGGTAGAGCACTAGCCTTGAGTTGAAGAGCTGAAAGATAGCACCCAGGCCCCGAGTTCAAGCTCCAGGACTGAGAAAACAACAACAAAACAAAAGAGTTCAAGCCCCACCACTAACAAAAAAAAGTAATATAAAGAAAGGGCTAAGGAATATATATGTCAGTGGTAGAGTGTGCTTCATTTGTGTGAGGCCCCAGGTTTGATCCCCAGCACTGAAAAAATAATTAGAAATCATGGCATATTCAAATTGATGTAACATATCATCTAGCTCTTAAATCTTTAAAAATCCTCTTTAAAAATAATAGAATATGGGCTGGGAAAGTGGCTCAGTGGTAGAGCGCTTGCTTTGCATGCCTGAGGCCCTGGGTTTGATTCCTCAGCACCACATAAGCAAAAAGAAAAAAGCCAGAAGTGGAGCTGTGGCTCAAGTGGTAGAGTGCTAGCCTTGAGCTGAAGAGCTGAAGGACAGAGCCCAGGCCCAGAGTTCAGGCCCCGTGACTGGACCCAAAAAAAAAAACAAACATAGAATATATTTCAGTTTCATAAGTCAAACCCCATAAGCCAGGCTTCAGTGGCTCATGTTTACAAATCAGGAAATTGAGATGTGGAACATCATGGTTCAAAGCCATCCTGAGCAGAAAATTCTATTGGATTCCATCTCTTTTCTTTTATCATGACATGGGGACTCAAACTCAGTGCCTGACACTGTCGTTTACTGGCTGGTGCTCTAACAACTGATGCATGCCTGTAACTCCTAGACTTCATCTAGGCAGCGAGGAGCTGGACTAGAGGTGTGGCTCAAGTGGTAGAGTACCAGGTGTAAGAAAGCCAATGAGAGCTTGAAGCTCTAAGTTCAAGCCCTGATACTGACAAAAGCAAAGACACTGTAGGTGTTTATAGATATAGAGTAAGCAGGGAAAGTTGTGTTTCCTATTCCCATTCTGCTCCCCTCTCTAAAGAAAACAAACATTAGATTTGTTTATGTGCTTCTGGGATTTTCTGTACAATATAATATACTGGTTTATAATAGTTCTTGGCATAGCATAAGTACTAGAGAATTGATAATGATAATAGTCACTATTTGCATAATATATTTGCACATGAATTTGCATAAATATTTTACTAAAAGTGAATTTTTCTACATTTTGATTTGTTGACTTAACGTGGATATCTTTCCATTTTAAAAGGTACAGTTTTACTATATTCTCTTTTTTAGGCTAACTATGAAACCACAAATTAAATTTTTATTCAGCAGTTGTAAAATAAACGTGTAGGCTTATAATTAAGTATATCTTAAATTCCACCAACCTAAAATTAAAAATGATTTCTAGAAACAATTGGCACATAGCTAAGATAGGTAGTTGTAGCCAAAACGATCCAAACAATTCCTGCATTAATCTGTCACATTGTATCTGGATGGCCACCTTTAAGGTGGTATCAAAGAGAAAGCTGAATGGTCTCTTTCCAGCCTTGGCCCTCTCCTTTTCTTTACTCATACTTGGGCTATCAGAGATAGTTATCTTCAAATCCCACATTGTAAAGATTGCATGTCATATGCCATAGGAGGAATTAAATCACTTGTTGAACCCTTCTTAAATTGATTGATATTTCTGTTATTTCCATATTTGGAAATAATGCTGAAAGTATAGTGTCACTCTTTTGTGAATTTCTATGACAACCTTACAGGCAGACATTTGAGAATATTTTCAGTTTAGTAACTGTATCTCCAAAGTTGTATAATAGTAGGAATTGTGGAAGAATCTACTGGTTCTTCTGCATCTCCTCCTGAAGAAACTATGCCACCCATAGGAGAAGGACCCTTTTGTTCCGTGAAACCATAAAGCTGTCTTGAAAAGTCCCAACAGTGCCTGAAGACCTGGCTTAACTTGTGCTTCCTTGTGTTTCAGAACAGTGCCGAGTCTCTGATTAGCTTGCCATCACACAAAGGCGAGTTGGTGGTCTCCCTAAAATATATCCCAGCCTCCAAACTCCCCACTGGAGGTGACCGGAAAAAAAGTGAGTTTTCTTTAGCTCTCAGTCATTTATGTAGGATCTGCTAATTCTGTTGGAGAGACTAGGATGGGCTATCCCCATGGAAAGAGGTGTTTTTTTTGTTTTTGTTTTTAAATAAGTAAGCCTTCTTTGCATTTCTGAAGCAGACTGGGAAGCCTTGGAGTTGGCATTCCTTTGTAAATTATTTTAGACTATTAAACTGACTTGATCTTGATTCAGCTGTAGCAAGCTTCTAAAAGGGGGGAAAAGAACAGAAACTTTAGGGTTGAGGTGGGTAGTTGGAAAGAGTGATAAACTAGGAGGAATGAGAAGTTAAAGCTGATGAGGGCTGAGGAGGAGTAATTTGATATGCCAAGCACTTTGTTAATGACTATAGATATATGGAGGAATAAAACAATATACTTGCCCTCTGTTGACATTAGTTCAGCAAGAAAGATAGCCATATGCTCAAGGGACCTAAATATAAAGGTAACTAGTTCTTTCTTGATTATGTTGGGGGGAGATTTGAAGAGAAAGTAGTGCTGAAATTGGTTCTTGAGATTTTACCAGGCAGAAAAGAAAGGAGTATGAATACTGGGTCTGGGATTGGAGATGAGTGTGAAGCCCAACTGAAAAAAAAGGCTTTGAATATAAAAGGTTTAATTTGATTTAATGGTCAATGGGAAACCAAAGTTCTTAATATATGACAAAATGAGAATAGTTTTACCAAAGATAATGAAATATCATCTAATGTCTGCATTTCACTATTTATTTGAGTACAGGGCATTTTTATTTTGGAAATTGTATGCTTTCTAGAAACCCTGTGGATTTATACAAGCACTGTTTTATGAGTTATATAAAATATTATAAAAATTCCTTCAGTGAAGGTCTAATCAGGATTAAGGGAATCCATAGGTCCCAAAGAGGATGTGCAAAATGGTTAAAGAAGAGGCAAAGACAGAATCATTGGAACAGAAAGACATTAAAAGATAAAGAGAGGAAGAACTTAGTGAGGCCCAGGGTAATCAGGAGAGAGAAATACCAGGAAAGAACTTCAAGAAGAGGGTTGGTGTTTTCAACTGTATGGACATACTAAAAGAAGTCAAGGGAGATAAGGACTGAGAAGACATAGTGCACTGGCATTTTGTTGGATTGTATTTTCCATTGGTCAGTAGAGGCAGAATCCAGATTTCAGTAGGAACTAGTTTGAGTGAATCATGGGGCAAAACATGGAGAGCTCTTAAGTGTGAGCTTTTTCTATGGTAATTAATGTTAAAAGGAAAGAAAGAAATAGATAATAGATCAAAGAATACATAAGGTTGAAGGGAGGTTTTCTTTTAAACTGATGTTAAAAATAAAGGTGAATAGATAAGATATGGAATCAACCCAGATGTCCCTCAGTAGATAAATGGATAAAGAAAATGTGGTATGTACACCCAATGGGATTCTGTGCTTCCATCAGAAAGAATGACATCATCCCATTCATAAGGAAATGAAAAGACTTGGGAAAAATCATATTAAGTGAAGTAAGCCAGACCCAAAGAAATGTAGGTTCCATGGTTTCCCTTATTTGAAATATATGTCTAGGATAGTCCTAGCAGAGGATCATAGTAGTCCAATAGCTATGCATATATTACTATATAAAATGATGCCAATTGAAATGAACTCAATGACACTGGAAACAAGAGGGTTTTTTGTTATGTTTTGTTTCTCTTTTTTTTATAGAGTACTGTTTGCAGGTTTTATTTGTCTTTCTTTTTTTCTCCTCTGATTTATTCCCTGTGGAAACTGTTTCTGATTTTGGTACCCTATGTCTTATATATAAATTTGTCTGGTTTGGGGAAGGGAAGTGGAGTCACAGAAATGATGGGACAAAGAGTGACCTAATGCAACAGTGATACTCACTAGACACTATATTGGAAATGAACTCTATAACTTGGAGGTGAGGGGAGTTGGGATGGGAGAAAATGAGGGACAGGATAACACTTAAAAAGAAATGTAGTCACTACCTGACTTATGTAACTGTAACCCCTCTGTACACCACCTTTTCAATAAAATAAAATAAAGGTGAAATTAGTCTATTTTTTAAAAAGGGGAAGATGTCAGTGGAGAAAGAGATAATAAAAATGGCATGTGGGTTTCAAATTGATTCCGCCTGTTGAGTCCTGTGGCATGGGGATAGAATCAGGAACTCATGTACAATTCCCATTTTTAAATCAAATATCAGGCAGCTTCATTTCCCTAAATTTGGTTCCTGATCTGTAAAATGATAACAATGATAGTGATAATTTCATAGGATTGTTTACTGAATGCTTAAGGCAATGTCTGGTACCTAGCCAGTTTTCAATAAGCATTTAATGCAATCCAAGTTATTAATTGAGCACCTACTGTGTACTGCTGGGCCCTGTGATAGGAACTGAGGATACAAATCAGGCATGATTTCATTGTCATGGAGCTTGTTGCTTGCACTGTATAGATGTAGCTCAAGAGAAATCTGAAGTTGTGGGGCTCACTTGCTATGGCTGATATCCCTTACAGGTAAAGGTGGAGAAGGAGGAGAACTGCAGGTGTGGATCAAAGAAGCCAAGAATCTGACAGCTGCCAAATCAGGAGGGACTTCAGACAGCTTTGTCAAGGGGTAAGTCCCTGGCCCAGCACCAAACCAACAAGTTTCAGGACAACAGAGGTAGCAGAGGATCCCAATTTAACCTTACTTTATGGATTCTATCCTGTGTGTCCTGCGAACCCTCAGCAAACCTCTTTTTGTTCTTGAAATTAGGTAATGGGAAAACTTCCAGCACTACCTTTGCACTGGTCTGAGCTCAGGTTGGACTGGGCTGTGGTATTAATTTCAACAAAGGAGGATGATAGACAGGTTCTGACTTTTATTCAAGTTCTTCCTTAATCCTAGATCTCAGTTGGTGTCTTTGGATTGTATTTAGTGACTCAGGGCTTTGTTCTTTATAATTATGAAGCAAAGCTTCATTGTAGATGTCTCACTGACTTAAGCTCCCTAGCAAATCATGTTTGGCTAAGCCAAGAAATATTCCTATTAGTCTTATTTGTTGTTTGTATGAGAAATCTGTCCCAATATTTAGAACTCATTTTTAGTGGAGGCTAGACAATAGCCTCAATAATAATAGATACATTTTCTGTCTAGGTTAAAGGAAGTGAATCCAATACATGATATAGTGGGGAGTCTGCTTCAGCAGATTCATATGGGTGTGTGCACTACATCTGCACATTGACTCACCTTCCTGGGCTAGGCCTGTGATAGAGAAAAGAAGAATTTAGACAGATATTGTCAGCCTAGAATAAGTTGATTGCTTCCTGCCCTTTGCCAGATACCTTCTTCCCATGAGGAACAAGGCCAGTAAGCGTAAAACCCCTGTGATGAAGAAGACCCTGAATCCTCACTACAACCACACATTTGTCTACAATGCAGTGAGGCTGGAAGACCTACAGCACATGTGCCTAGAACTGACTGTATGGGACCGGGAGCCCTTGGCCAGCAATGACTTCCTTGGAGGGGTCAGGCTGGGTGTTGGCACTGGTGAGTCTCTTCTCATCCTCTTTTGTCTTAAAACCTCCTGTCCTGTTTCACTCTCAATACCTCCTTCCCATGACATACAATGTTCCTTTACAACAGACATTGTCTTTTTTCCTTTAACAAGTATTTGTTGAGTGCCTGAGATGTGCTAGGCCCAGGGAAAGGCTGAATGCATACACTGTTATGTGAAGCTGATAGCCATGAACTCTATCATCATTCCACAGGAAAACTACAAACATACCAGTATATCTGTATCAATATATTTTTTCCATCTTTTATCTTGTTATAAGAATGGTCCTGGCTAGTAAGGGCCAACCTCTCTCGAGATATTTCAGATCTCACCCTCACTTTCTCAGTGGCCCTACTTCTATGATCTCCATTTCTTCCTTAAGATCTACCCACTGAAGATGTGTACAGGTATCCTTGGTGTTTCCAATCTTCTTCAACAAAATCTTCTCATGACCACAAGTCTCCTGCTCTCATTTCCTTAAAAGAATGCTGTCTACTTATTTTTTTTACTTCTCCTTTAGTACCAAGTCCACTCTACTGACCAAATGCTCATGCCAAAGTGTTGTTCTTATCTCACAAGAGTTCTCAGCAATATTTGATGTAGCAGAATACATTTTCTTCAGATACTTAGCTTCCACTGACAGTACTCTCTGATTCCCGTTGAACCCACTATCCACTGATTTCTACTATTGTCTGTAGGTTCCTTGTCCTGTATTCAAATGCTAAATGTTGGTGCTTCTCTGGGCTTAGTCTTCGATTCTCTTCTTTCTCTCACCTGTATAATCTCCAGTCTCTAGATTTCCATGGCCTTAAATACTACATGTTTACCAATGACTAACACCAAAACATCTAGAGTGATGTTTTAACACTTGTAAGCTAGTTCTCTGCTTAAAAACCTACAATGACTGCTTGTCCTATTTAGAAAACAATCTGAAGTTCTTACCAAACCTACAGACCCTTATTTAATTTGGACTGTTCCTTTTCAATCCCTCTGACTCATTTTCCTGCTTATTCATGTTGCTTCAACCATAACTTCTCTTCTGTTCTCTAAGTAGACTATATCCATCCCCACTCCAGGACCTTCAGGACCTGGAAAAGCTGGATCTTTCCCATCCTTTAGGTTGTCACTCAAAGTCTCCATCTCAGAGTCCGTCATACCATTCCATCTACAGTGGGTCACAATCCAGGTCCTCCAAATCACCTTAATTTTTTAATGTTTATCTTACGATGTGAAATTCTATGGAACTTTGCTTATTGTATTTTTGTCTTTCCTATTTAAATGTAACCACTTGAGGGCTTTATTCACCACTTGTATCTCCAGAGCCTAGAAGAGTACTTGGTACATAGTAGACACTCAGTAAATTTTTGTTCGATGGATGACTGAATGTATTGGAGACAAGAAGTCTAAATTCAAGAGCCAAAGGTGTTTCACTATTGTTATTTTTTGGTACTGGGGTTTCAACACAGGGCCTCAAATTTGTTCTGCTAGTGTTCTAACACTTCAGCTACACCTTCAGAGCTGCTTTTCACTTTAGAGATGGAGTCTAGCAAACATCTCTATCTTGGCTGGCCTCAAAACAAGATCCTCCAGATCTCAACCTCCCAAGTAGCAAGGATTATATGCATAAGCCATAGGTGCCCAGTTTTTTATATTCCAAATCAGGTTGCCAATAGTGGAAGGATAGTAATCCTCCCTCTGGCATGAGAATTCAGACACCAGTGCTCTGAACAAGACGAATGTAGTGACTGTGTGTTACTTGACTGTGTGTTAGCCTGAAGTCTCCTGATAGTCTCAGAGCACAAGATATCTGTAGGAATAACAAAGATCACTTCCTTAGCCTATCTTGATGTTTACAGTCTTTTATGGGGGAGTTGCCCTTGTGATTATAACCCATCTTCCAGGATGGGCTGAGGAGTGGGGTCCACATTCAGCCTCCTCTCTTGTTTCTCCTCAGGGATCAGTAATGGGGAAGTGGTGGACTGGATGGACTCAACTGGGGAAGAAGTGAGCCTGTGGCAGAAGATGCGACAGTACCCAGGGTCTTGGGCAGAAGGGACTCTGCAACTCCGTTCCTCCATGGCCAAGCAGAAGCTTGGTTCATGAGTTCCTCACATCCTCTGCAGGTCCAGCCCTACCCAGGGCAAGTCAGAGAAAGTGAGGAAACCAAGAGCAAAGATTTTTAATTTAATATGTGGTGTGTGTGTGTGTGTGTGTGTGTGTGTGTGCATGTGTGCGTGTGTGTGTTCAAACATGTATTCTTGCAAATCTCACTTTGCTAGGTAGAGTGGTAGAGACTTGTTCTTCCTTTGAAAGCAGGTTCAAGAATAAAGGCTTCTTCAAAATATTTTTATTTGTATATAATCTACTACATTTTCAGAATTCATTCCTTCCTGTGTCTTTATGAGCTTCAATCAACTTAAAAAATTTTGTTTTAAACAACTTTTCTCTTTTTCTTGCTATCCTGTTCTTACTTGTCGAGGAAGTTCCTGCAACTTTTGGCTTTAGTTCCATCTTGTGGTTCAAGGTATGCCTGATCTGGGGCCAAGGCTCTGAGAAGTAGGGTTGGGTTACCACAGGTGTGGGGGGAGGCAGTTATGAGAGGGACATTAAGTAGGTCCTGTCCTTTGGCTCCAATTTACAGTTTTAATTCATCTTCTACCTTGATAAATTTTTGGCTTTTGTTTTATTAAGCAGTTTCAGCTTTGCTTAAATATAATAATTTTCTTTGAAATGCTAAGCAAACCCCCAGCTTCTGCCAGTATTAGATATCTACTAGACCTTTGGGAAACTCTTATACTGGAGTCATTTTAGAAAATCTCTCTAGTTAGATGATGGCTTTCTGAATCATGAATGTACCCAGTGAGACCTTCTACTGATCCTAGAAGACTCGAGTGATGGAAGTTAAAGGACCTCACAGCCCATCCTCAATTCTGTACATTTTAAATTCATATAGCAGTTGCTGGAAAGAGAATTCCTTATTTCAGTAATGAAAGATGAGATACCTTCACTCTCATGTACCACATGCTTCTCTGTCAGGCTGTGAAGCCTCACACAATATGGTTACATACCTACCTTGGTGTTGGCCAGAAGGGCCCCAGGGACTTCCTACCCTAGAAACTATTTTTGCTTTAGGAGAATGGGAGCAGATAGTCTCCCAGTCTGATATCTTATCTCATAATGGCTTCAATTCCTATTTTCTATGTTTACCTACAGGCTACCTGGGAATGAATGGTGTGTTATGATCAAGCTTTTCAGAAAGATTTCTGATGAGCCAACTTTCATTTCCATGCTACTCTCCATTCCAAACTAATCATTTTATCCTTACAAGGGTATCTATACAGAGTGGTATGTGGAAGGGAGTCTATCTCAGAGAAGAAATTCTTTTCAATACAGCCAGCTGCTAGCTGACTTTTCTACAAGCCTACTGGACTGGGGCATCTAGTGTGGTTTCTAGTGGATGTGTGAACTGAATGGAGGAATGTTCTTAAAAGATTTATTTGCTGTAGATTGGTACTGTAATGGGAAGTATCACTTGAAATCCTGGGTTGTAAGTTGCTCTTTTGTTTTCTGCCCCCTTACGTATAAGTGTGCTTCAATAAAGCTTTTCCATTTGTGAAATATTTGCACTTGTAAGTTACTTTTTTCTCTGACCTGGCTTACTATTGCTGCTTGTCTTAAAGGAGAAGAAACAGAATGATAAATGTCCTTCCCTAACCATCCTGTGCTTACTTGAACACAATTTGTCTTTTTTTTTCCCACATTGCTGCTGACACTTGGGCTGAGCTCTGATACCTTGCCCTGCATGTCTGGCATCTCAAAGTGGCAGCACATTTTTCTCTCTTAAGCACTAAGGGAACTTGGTCTTTAGCTTTGATAATCTCCCTCCCCTTATGGGAGGGGACAGAGATGTTCACACTGAAGGCAAGGAAGCCTTTTCCTGTTATAAGTCCTTCTTTCTGGATTCTTCAGTTTGCTGAGAGATGGAGAATTTTCTCTCTACTTCTATTATTCCTTAAGTTTGTGAGCTGAATAACACAGACTTGAATTAATTTATCTCTGAAATAAAACTCTGGAGTTTTTTTTTTTTTTGGGTCTGGTTGTGGGGCCTGAACTCTGGGCCTGGGCACTGTCCCTCAGCTCTTCAGCTCAAGGCTAGTGCTCTACCACTTAAGCCACAGCGCCACTTCCAGCTTTTTTCTTTTTGCTTATGTGGTGCTGAGGAATCGAACCCAGGGCCTCGAGCATGCAAGGCAAGCGCTCTACCACTGAGCCACCTTCCCAGCCCCAAGACTCTGGAGTTTTATATAGAGCACAAGTGACTTTTGACTCCTTGTACAAAAGGACATTCATATATATCAAATGCTTTTTGTGTACAAAGTTTTATAGATTATTTCCTTAAACTCTCCAATGAGTAAGAAATCTTCCCTTCTTACAGATGAGAAAACACAAGTCCACTGTGACAGATTTGGGATTTGAATCAAGGTCTGAGTCACCTGCACCACACTGCCTCTTATATCTACAAAGACATGTGTATTATGGGCAAAGAGGCAAAAGAAGGGATGACTTGCCTCTTCTAAAATACCTTAGAGAAATCGGTTTAATTTACACAGTAGGGCAATCAGAATGCTTTGACATTACCTAGCCAACTTAGTTGTATAGATTGTATTTGCATATGTATGTATATGAGGGAGTAGAAAGTGGAAAGCTGCTGAAGGAAGAGAGAAGGCTCAAAAGCAGATGAACCTTATAAGGTTATTGTGAAGATTTCAGAGATATATCTAGAGTCCTTATAAGCTAGAGTGTTTACAATGGCCCTCGGTACCTATTGAACACTCAAGCATTAATAGCACCCATCCTGCTTTCTGACCCCTCTAGTTTTCCAGTGGTGATCCATTGGGAAAAGCTGAAGTCCTAGCTCTAGATCTAAAAATCTTATAAGGAAGATGGAAGGAATGGAAGAGGGTCATGCTCACCAAGTTGGTGGGGTGGGTCTATTGTGGGTTTGATTCTGCTCCTGCCTTCCCTGCTTTAGGAATTAGAATTCGGATTTATTTTTGTTTTCTTTCTTTCATTTTTGTCAGTATTAGAGCTTGAACTCTAGGCCTTAGACCTCTCTTGACTTTTTGGCCTACAGCTGATGCTGTACGACTTGAGCCATACCTCTTGTTCCAGCTTTTTGCTGTTTAATTGGAGAGAAGAGTCTTTTGGATTTACCATAGCCGGCTTCAAACTGTGAGCCTCAAATCTCAGCCTCCTGAGTTGGTAAGGATATATGCGGGAGCCATTGGAGCTAGCTAGTACTTGGGATTTCTTGGAGTCATAATCTACAATGCAAAACCTTAGTATTTGGGTAAAACCTAAGAAAGCAAAATTGATTTACCTTGACTACTATGAATCAAAAGTTCCTCTGTTGTTTTAAGTTGGAAGAATCAATTCTTGGTTGAAACTGTTTAGGAAGTAGTGGGCCACCTGTGTTATCTTTCAGGCCTTTGGCATGTCCTGGCTTGCCACTTGAAGTGTTAGTGAGATAGACAAGGAAGGACATCTGTCTTTACCAATAATCAATGTTCACCTTTGGAACCACAGACTGTGTTGGATCAGAAATTTCCCACATGAACCCTGTGTATTTTGCCTTCTGCACATGAATTACCTATAGCCTTTCAAAGCTTCTGTATTTCCCTGGAGGGGACTTGGAGAAGAGAAGCTTTCCCTCCAAGTTTGATCATTTCTTTCATGTCTCATTCTACCCAGAAACCATGTAATTTTTAGTTTGCATCTTAAAACAGATTTCCAATAAACTTCCAGTGAAAATAACTTCTCTCTGATTCACTGCTATCCCCATGTGTTCTGGGTTTATTATGTATGCCCCATCACTCTAGGTTGAGAGCCTTGAATCTGAGTTTTATATCTGAGTATGAATATAGAAGATTGAACCATTCTCAAGGTGTTCTTAGAACTTTCAGCTATCTTAAAATTGGAAGTAGAAAAATGAGATAGCAGAATGTTGAAGGCCTTTGACTCTGAAGCCTAACTGCTGATGTTTACATCCTGACATTTCCACTTATTAGCTGTCAGAATTTAAGCAAATTACCTAACGAAATTGCACTTATCATTATCTGTAAAAGGGAGTTAATAACACTTTACCTTATACGGTTCTTTTGAAAATTTCAAAGACAGATCTAGAGTGTTCATCATGGCCCCTTGCACCTAATGAGTACTCAAGCACTATGAGTACCCATCTTGCTTTCTGACCATTCTAGTTTTCCACTGGTGACCCCTTGGGAAAAGCTGAAGTCTTAACTCTGGATTCTATCACTAGAAAAGGAGGTTCTTTGCAACAAGGAAAGAGTACTTTTCTTTGAAATACTGACACATTACTGAGTGGGACTGAAGTGAGAGCAAGGATCTGGGACTGGAGGTGTAGCTTAGTGGAAGTGCTTAGCATGTTCAAGATCTTAAGTTACATTTTCAGCAAAAGAAAAGGAAGGAAATAAGGAAGAAAGAAAGAAGAAGAAAAAGAAAAGAAAGGAGGAAGGAAGAAAGGAAGGAAGGAGGGAGGGGGAAGGAAGGAAGAGAGGAAAGGATGGTGGGAGGAAATGCAAGAAAAAGAAAGGAGATCTGTGTGTCTACTTTCTAATAGCCCAACCTCAAATTTACTTTCAATTTTCCCACTTGCTTCTGAAGACTTGTGTTTTTACTGCTGTATTTTCCACCCTCTCTGCGCTCATCTGTTAAAGGGAATATCCTAGAAAGTGAATACAGGACAATGTCGATTTTCTTTTCCAGTTGTGTCAGGTGGTACTCCAGCTCACAGGCTAGGAGGCTCCTCTAATGAAGAAACAGCATTATGTACCATTTGCTCCAGAGACTGGAGGACACAGTAGGTATTTCTTGCCTGTGAACTGGCTGGAGGGGCCAAGAGAGACCATTCTGTTTTGCTTAGATTTTTCCTCTCAGCCTCCCTTCCCTTGCAATGTTTTTCTAACTCTTGATAAATCAGTGGTTCATATTTTTAGCCCAATTCTCTAGAAGGGGAAATGACAAGTGAGTTCAAGAATGTTTTGTAGATTCTTGCCACACCTTCCTGGTCTCTGATACAATTAACCTAAAGGAAAATCCACCTATACTTGCTTAAATTGTCCTAATTGTCTATTGTGATAGTGCTGCCCTCTGCTGTCACCACAAGGTACAGAACCATTTCAAACAGCCAGCAAGATCCTTATATATCACCCT